AGGAATGCATTAGCATAATAGGCCACACCCAACAGCAGAAACTCATTAGGATTGGCTACAGTAGGGGTGTGTGGCCTAACATGCAAAGGAGTTCCTGCTACAAAAAAGCCCTGGGTTTTGACAACAAACAAGATCAATAGAATAAGAAGCAAAAGGTGGGTGTGGCTGGATGAGCACACTTCTGGTAACATGGGGGAGTGGCATAATATGCCAATGAGCTGTGCTGTCAGGGGTGTGGCCTAATATGCTAATGAGTTCCTGCTGGGCTTTTTCTACAAAAAAAGCCCTGCTCTGGGCATAGAGCAGTGGACCGTCCTCTAAGCTGTGGAGTCTTGTGAGCAAAAATTCTGCTTTGTGAGCTACTGGCATTAAAGCTGTGAGCGAGCAATTTGGCTACTGCATAAATTAGTTTGCTCTGGAGCCATCCTTCCTGAGTTAAGACAAAAAAGGGTGAGTTAGAGGCTAAAAAAACTGTGAGCTAGCTCACACTAACTCAGCTTAGAGGGAACACTTTGTGCTTCTATGTTCGAATGTGATTCCCACCCTATCACCTCATCCTGCGTGGTGGGTGGCACAGGGGAGGGGAGGTGCCTTGATGTACCCAATATATCTATGGATGATGCTAATCAAGAGTACTGAATTTCTGCTCCCAGTCTCCACAGAGATATATAAGAGTATTTGGATACAAGCCGCTTTTTGTGCAGATGTGAAGGGACTGAATCATATCTATTCCATAAGAAGGAATTTTTAAATATTAGGTGTTATAGTTCAAGAACCTTTTAGTAAGGTTTAAACAGCCTGTTGGGGTGTTACACTTCGCACCAATCTTCTGTTTGCACAGTGAATCTGCAGACTGACAGAAATGATGTTAAATTATCTGTAGATGATCTTACAAATACATAGCTTGGGGGGGGGGGGAATCATAGCAGCTCGGTACTTACACAAGCATGTCTTGTAATAGAAAAGGGACCAGCAGGTATACGGATAAATAATACTGGACGTGAAACCTTAGTGGGACCACCAGAGTCATTTATGAATCTGTCAGGAGCTCCTTATGGACAAGGTAACAGCCACCGCCTCCTCAAATCTCATACTGTGCAACAATCTGTCTTTTTCTAGGTCACAGTCACCATGGTACTTTCCCATAATATTAGAACGAAGGGACATCTGAATGATTGACTGGGCATTAAATCTGGAACAGACAAAAGGGACTACTCTTTCACACAAAGCATAATTAATATGTGGAACTCACTGCCAGAGGCGTTAGTGGCAGTCATAGAATCATAGAGCTGGAAGGGATCTCCAGGGTCATCTTGTCTAACCCCCTGCACAATGCAGGAAATTCACAAATACTTCCACCCACACACACCCCTCTGACCCCTGCTGCATGCCCAGAAGATGGCAAAAAACCTCCAGGATCCCCGGGCAAACTGGCCTGGAGAAAAACTGCTTCCTGACCCCAAAGTGGCGATCAGCATTTCCCTGGGCGTGTAAGAAAGGGCCACGAGAACTAAGCACTGATGCAGCCCTTCCTGCCCTCCCTCTACAATCTAAGTTCACAGAATCCTCATTGCTGTCAGATGGCCACCTAGCCTCTGCTTGAAAACCTCCAAAGAAGGAGAGCCCACCACCTCCTGAGGAAGCCTGTTCCGCTGAGGAACCTCTCTGTCAGGAAGTTCTTCCTAATATTTAGCTGAAATAGTCACTAGCGTAGACGTCTAGAAAAGAGGATTAGACCGATTCATGGGGAATAGGCTCATCGCTGCCTATTAGTGATGATGGCTAAGTGGAACCTCCATGTTCAGAGAGAGCATACCTCAGAATGACAGCTGCTGGGGTGGCAATAACAAGGTAGGCCTTTGCCTCTGTTCCCTGTCCACAGCCCTCCTGGGGAATCTGGTTGGCCTCCATGGAAAGCAGGATGCTGGGCTAGGTGGACCCGATATCCAGCAGAGCTGCTGTTATGTTCTTATCCACGGGTACTAGAGTTGCAGAGCTGGGAGGCTTATCAAGCCCCCTATGGTGCTAGAGGATCTCCTCCCACCAGCAGGTGCTTCCCTGCTCCCACTCAACTGGCCAGCTGGGGGGAAATGATGAGAAATCGGGGGAGGGACATCCTGACACACTGACATCACTCTCTGTGCGCCCAGAAGTGATGTCAGTGCTTTGCTGGGGAATGCTGGGTATCTTCTGGCATTTGGGCAAAACTCTGTGGTTTAACCATAGAGTTTTGCCTCAATTGAGGAGTATTGCTGGCAACTCCCCCCCCCCCGAAGGTAAGTCTCCTGCTGGTTGCTAGGGAGGGACTTCTGAGGTGGGGGAGGATGGTCTTACAGAGAATTCTGAGCACCAAATGCAATTCTCAGATTTCTGAGTAGTAGTCATGGCAGTGATACAAAACCAATAAAAGTTTGGGGTACCTGCATGCTTCTTGTGAAGGTTTGTGCTGTCACAGCTTTTCATGCTGCATGATACAAATCAAGTGCTGTGCTTTGTAAGTTTAGCGGTACTGTTATTAAGCGCCAGATCACAGCCAATGAGGTCTGCAGAAGGCTCTCCTGCCCCCCCCACCCCAGTGTTCTTGAAGTCCTTGTAACTTTCTATATGGGATTATTGGATTGTTCTTTTTTTAGGATGCCTCTCTGAACTGGCTTTGGGCAAGCCAAGAGGTTCTATCGCCTCCCCTTGTTGCCCTCCAGAACACACAGGAGAAGTACGGTGCTTGTGGGTGCTCAGAATCTCTCCTGGAGGAATGGCAAAAATGACCCTAAAACATTTGTGGATACCAGAGTCCGAGCACTGCAAAGTGGAATTCTTTGCCATTTATGAAGAGAGCCGGAAAGGAAGGTAATAAACATAACCGTCCATGCTCAAAACCTTTGTTATGACATGTGTAACAAATTTCCACAAGAATCTTGGGTAAAAAATGGTGGTGTTTGGGATTCCTTCTCTAGTCTTGTTGTGGTTGTGAATATCAACTAGTCTGGTTGTGTAAATATGGGTGCCTGTCTTTTAAAATTTCCCTACCATGTCTTAAAAGCACCCTAGGGGAGGTAAGTTCAATTAGGAAAACAGTGGAGGGAGGAGTTAAATCCTTCCTCAATGATGTAACCCCAGTTCACAGTCCCCGAAGCAGCTCTTTGTGGCCAAAAGACACATTGGTTGTTCTCTTCTTGGAACTCTTAACATCCTGGGTGCGTTCAGACGGGGCGTTCCAGCCAGCATAAACTGTACTGGTTGGAACCGGTGCAGTTTATGCCGGCTGAAACGCGATCACACTTACCTCCTGTCTGCGGAGCCCATCGCTGTATGCCCGTTCACACCAGTGGCCAAGGGGGGACCTGGTACCTCTACTTCAGTGTCTGGGTTTACTTACAATGTATTTAAGATCCAAGCACTGTATTTTTAACGGGCTGTTGTTCATGGGTCATTTGCAAGCACATTGGGGGAAAGAGAGGAATCTGTATGGCCAACTGCCTCAGTCTGGTTTTGTAAATGTTTGTTTCGTTTCTTCTTTAGCTAAACTGTGTGGCTCCCTGCAGTCTCCCATGTCCTTCCTGAGTCAGGGGCCTGTTGTGAAAGTGGAGCTCCATTCCACCATTCGCGATGCCTTTGCCACGAACTACGTGGTCCTCCGAGTACCAGGTAAGTGGATAATTTGGAAAGTGAGGGTCTACATCAAGACTATGAACCTGATCCTAACTGATGGGCATGCATGCATTGTTTTTAGATATGGACTATTACATTTGCCCAAAAAGAAGACGAACCAAAATGTGAGTTGAACTCCCTAAAAAACGTTATTTTTATGGTTCATGACTAACTTATACGCAGATTTAAGACAGGCTGCTCTTTAATGGTACATGTGGGGGGAAAACTAGTTTTCCTTTCACTTAAATAGGATATGTAAGATCCTGCTTCAATACAAGTTCAACTCTGTGCCTCCTCTTACATCCCCTTCATTCTGCCACTTTGTCCACTTACCAAAGAGCAATCAAATGCCTGAAAGTGAAATAAAATCTCATAATCTCCATTTGCTAATGATTCCTTCCTTCCCCACTAGGGTCAAAGATGGGGGAAAGCGTGGAATACTCCAACAATCTGAGCCAACAGTTGGCAGACTGCAGAGATGCCATCCCCACTACCCAGGAAGGAGTAATCCAGTCGCCAGGTTTTCCAAATGCGTATGCCAACACGGCTAGGTGAGAGTATAGCTTTCATTCTGACCCATTGCAGAAATCTGTGGCTAGAGCCTTTCCTGTGGTGGGCCTTTCTAGTATGCCTGTAATATTCACAAATAATTCTTTGTGTGAATTGCGATGACTTTGACAGGTGAGTGATCTGGGAAGAACATATCTCAATGCCATAGCCTTTTATAAGCAGATTTGGGCTGCATTTTCTTTATTCAGTTGTTACACTCATTTATGAAACTTCTTGCTTTTTTAGGCCTTGCTCTAAGCATCAGACCCAATGCAATACTGGAGTATCCATGACTGGATCTCCAGTGAGTTTTTAAAAACTTAAATAACAGGTTCAGAGGCCACAATTAATAGGGAAAGGGGATTATCTCTTATCCCACCTCTGCTGCTTTCCCAGCCTAGTTGCCTTCCCTGACATTATTATTGTCCCTGTTGGAGGAAACATGCAGGTAATATTCAAGCATCTAGTAAACAGTATCTGGGATGGGAGATGATGTTTGAGGTCAAGTAAAATGGCCTGAGAGGGAAGATCTAATCTCTTCCTCCTGTGCTGTGGGTCCCGCAGTTGCTATTTAACCGTTAAAAAACATGTTGGAGATACAGATGTGGACTTTCTACCATTTTGTCTGTGTTGGCCTTCACTGAAGAGGTAAATCAGTGTCTAGACAATTAGTGGGTTTTATCTTACCCTTGTTCCAAGGACCTTGAACTCTCCCTATTCTGCCTCACAACAGCTCTGAAGTAGCTGAGCTCGGAGACAGTGATTGACCCAAAATCATCCATGTCTGAGTGGGGATTTTGTTATGTAGTGGGTGGTCGCCCGAACAAACGATAGACTACGTGGTGGTGCATAGCACGCTTTATTCAGTACACAACAAGAGAGAGCACAAACGGCCGGCAGGCCAACTATATACAAACCTGGGGACACCCCCCTGGTCACCATTGGTGGGTTTGAATCTCCCGCCATGGTTCCCATTGGTTCCCCAGTGTAGGGCTAGGATCCTAGTCCCCATTGTTGTCCAGGACTGAAGCTCAGGTGTGTGTGCTGACCTCAGGTGGCGGTCAGTGGACACAACATCCCTCCCCCCATAGTCCGAAACCTCCCCTATGAGACATAGTCTTTAAGGTACGCTGGGGGCCGTCGCACCCTCGCGGATCGTCTGGGGGCCGGAGCTGGGGCCTCCGGGGTTCGGACCTCCGGGGCAGAAGTCTGAGGTGGTGCTGGGACCTCTGCGGCTACTGATTCGGGCTCTGGGGACCCCGCATCCGCTGCCGGGGGCTGGTTATCCTGGTGTGAGTCCTCTGGTGCGGGCAGGGTTTGTTCTGGGCCCTCGTCAGGACCCCCTTCTAGCTCTGCCC